TCCCTGCCCGTCTCCGGTCTCCCGCACCGGTGTTGTCCCCACCCTCGATGCCCTCGCCCGGGCGGCGCAACACCCTCTTCCCCTCCCCCACTCTCTTCCCTTGGCGCGCCCCACCCCAAATCCTACCCACAACCGCCGCCGTGCTCCATCACCAGCGACCTTGCTGCCGCCGCCCCTATCCCCTCGCCCTATCTCCATACCCGCGACGCCGAGCCGGACGGGAGGAGCCACCGCCCCGCAGCACGCTCGCGCCGGTACGTACAGGCGGTGCCCCCGCCGGATCTGAACAAGAACACCGAGTGGTTCATGTACCTGGCGTTCCTAGATCCATCCGCCCTACCCTCTGCTCACCCTATCTCCCTTGGTGTTGGGGCATCCAGATCGAGCAGGTCAGGTGCCGGTGCTCCACGATCTCCATGCGATGCGCCGGCGAGGCGACGGTGATGCTTGTGGTGGACGCCTCCGCCGTCTTCCACCGACACACAGCCGCGCCCTCTGACGCCGCTCTTCCACGCGACGAGAGGCATGGGTGCCGCTCGGCTGGGATAGAACCCCACGCTCGACGATGCCATGGACATGGAGGTGTTCAAGGTACCCTCTTCCTCTCCTTCTCTGTCCCTCACCTCCAATACTTGCCACTGAGCTCATGACAATGCCATGTCTCACTTGGGCCCTCTGATGCTTTCTCGCTATGGTCTCTCGATGAACACAATTGCTTACTCCTAAAATCTCTAATTCCTAGGGTTTACTCTTGCTGTTCTACATACTTTCATGTACCACTATCATACTCCAGGCTTGCTTAAAATTGCAATTCCACGCTTAGAATCATGACACCATCGAGTCACAGGGACATCTCAACTTCTGAACAAAAAAAAACATTATTGTTTGCTGCATTGCATATATCATTACAGTTCTTGATTGAGTTTTGGACTTGCGTAATTCCATCATCAGGGGAAGCTGATACCCACACAGCCAGCTCGTGCTCACTGTGTTTGACCGCCAACTCATGCTCACTGTGTTTGACTGCCAGCTCGTGCTCTACTGCGACGAGTACCGATGCCCACACAGGTATGACCTGCGTGCCCCCCATGACCTTGCACCGGTGCTATGTGTGTGAGCGCGCGCGCTTGCTGCAATGTCGGGTGCGGTGGTGTGCTGCAAACTTGCGATGGGGGCGGCCAGGTGGTGCGTGGCTGTGTGTGTGGCGATATATGGAGCTCCGGAGATTCCTATTGGATTGCCGAGACTTGGTCTTGGTTCTGCCGTTGGCGTGTTGTCTTTGCTCTAATCTGGTTAAAACTGTGTGATTAGACTAGTAGCATCAGCTCTTTATCTAGAAAAAGAATACTATCAAGTCCTTAGCTAGCTAGCTAACTAGTACAAGCTGCAACCCAATAGGAACAGTAGCTTTCATGCACACATCTAGCTAGCTAATTAGTAATTACACTACTAATATTCAGAAACAACTTCACTTTGAAACTCTGAATCACTTCTCCCTGACAGACACTTCACCAAAATGTATCCTGTTCCAAACTCTTATTTGTATCATTATTTACCGAATGTTATTTTATTATTTTTGTTGAACTTATCTTGTATGAATCATCCCTCTTTTTTAGGTCTTTATGAAGCTTTGGAACTGAGGGACGGTGGATCTGACTACTTGGGAAAGGGTGTTTCCAAGGTTCCATTTGAGCGAATTTTATATTAGCATGAATAACGAATCCCTGGGCTACAGTCTTAAAGTAATTGTGTTACCTAGTTAGTGTTTGGAAGCAACTGGAGTGAATGTGAGAAAAGTTGAACAGCTTACACATTTTCCTAAAATGGTATAGCTTAATTTGTTTTTTAGCTACTGCAGCATTTCTTGAAATGATTTTTATTCTAAGCATTTTTTTCATACTCAATAATCTAGTTCCTGAATCAAATTTGATAACGAAATGTTTCTGTAGCAAGCTATAGTTAATTAGTTGGCAAGTGTGATTTCCATTCACGCCTCCTCTGTTTTTTGCAGGTCTGGCAGCACCGCCGTGTCGACAACGAAGGTGGTGACCGCGGCAGCGAGCGGCGCGAGTTGGTGGCTGCAGGACTCGACGGTATGGCTCATATATGCGCGAGCTGGGCATTACTTTGAGTTCATATATGTGCTTGTCACTCCATAGGTTATAGTGATTCCCTCTGTTTCCTTATATGTTCTTGTAGTTTGGTTGCTTTCCTGTTCATGCATGTTTTTACAGCTATATATAGTTATGCTGTGAATCTGTCATGCATGTATTGAAATGCAGGAAATGTTTAATACATGTTCACTCTCAGTTGGGATATTGAATTGTACATAGTTATGTGATTCATGTCTGCTTCTTATCTTATTAAGTGATTATCTTTATGTCCTTGCTACTAGTAGGATGGTTAATAGCTTGTTTTGTAGTTCTCTACTTTATGCAAATAGCTTCTTATAAGGCAATATAATTGGTTGTTTTGTGCTGCTGGCCTAATTAAACATGATCAGTATGTATACTTGTTTGAGATAGACATTTCATGCATGTTTATGAGCTACGAATTCTACAGATGTCACAAAATATTGGTGGCAAAGTGTCTTCTTATCTTTATATTTACTTAGCTAAAATCTTAGAGTAACAATAACTGTACTTGACAAGTAAACATTAGCATCTTAAATGATCATCTTAAATGATTAGCTAAAATGATGTAGGAGTAGTAGAAACTTCATGGTTGATCCTGATTGCTGAACATGGGAGATGCATCTTCTTTTGCATATCAATTACATAGTAGTACTATATAATACTTGCCGATGTGGTACATTCAATACTGGCAGCACTGGCCATTAATTACACTGGCCATTTTACGCCAGGCTTTAGATTCTGCCGAGCCAGACCTGTTGACCCGCAGTTTGATTCGTGGCGTGCGAGATTTGTTCCTGGGCTGACGTGGTGTGTTTGACGGTGTGATTTTCGCAGGCCTTGGACAAGATCAGTACGGTGCCGATGGAGGCCCTCGCCGCCGGCGTCGATGTGTCCATGATTGGGCAGTTTGGTGTTGGCTTCTACTCCGCCTACCCTGTTGCCGAGAGGGTCGTCGTCACCATGAAGCACAACAACGACGAGCAGTACGTGTGGGAGTCCCAGGCCGGTAGCTCCTTCACCGTCACTCGTGATATGTTTGGGGAGCAGCTCGGCAGGGGTACCAAGATGGTCCTCTACCTCAAGGACGACTAGGTATGCAGTCCAATCCTCCTATACTGTGATGGCTTACTCTTCATGTCTTGATGTGGTTCTCTGCTTAGTGTAGCTATATTAGACTCACTATGAGATGTCCACTCTTGTTTTGTTAAAAAACATGAACTGTTAAGTCATTTATTCATGGTCGTTGCTTTTGTTCAGTATATATGTGTGCTTTCTGATTTGTATGCGTAGGTGGTTATAGGTTCCTGTGATGAATATAAATATTAACAAGTGCTCATGCATGCCGGTATACTAGAGCTAGTTGTATGTGCTCATTACCTTCCTGTTGTCACTTTGTCAGCATCAATCCAATCCAACCCAGCCCAATGAATCTAACTTGCTCATTTAGTTATCGCCATCGGTGGTAGCCAACAACTAACCGATCTTAGCTGCTGCCGGCTGTTTGGCATCCTATGTATTTTTTGCTGCTAGTCTCAGAAATAATGCATAAATAGCATCAAAACTGCTTCATGCTACCTCTCGGGCAAAGTAGATGCTAGTTTGGTTACTATCTGTAGATCATCAGGTCTACTTGATGCAAGTCTCTATTTTTTGTTTGTTCTATTTTTTGTTTGTCTCTCTTTGACATATTGCTTTTTCTTTTTGAATGCGCAGGTTATTTGCATCTTGATTAGGAGATGATGGTGATCATCTTTTGTTGCGGGGAACCTGTTAGATAGAGTTTAAGTGATTTGAACCTGCAAGATACAGTTCTGTATAATGTTGTGTGAGATAAAAGTTATGTACTTGTGAACATAGGAGATAAGTTATTGATATGTGTTGGTCTGTCTAATGTTATGCGAGATAAAGTTGTGTGAGAAAGTTTTCTATACTTGTGTTATTACCGTGGGAAAGAAGTACTGTTACTATACTGATTTGAGAATATTGGTTGTAAATAAAAGAGGGCTTGGCCCACTATTGGATTGTAAAAAGGCCCTGTCCAGAATTTATATTGCACTCAATACTTGGGCTCTAAAAAGGCCATGGCCCGAACTATGTTGGACTTCTTTCTAGAAAGAGCAATATAAATTTCAGATTCTAAAAGGGTTGAGGCCCCAAAAAAATGGATTATAAAAACTGCATCTCAGAAAAAAAAAGTCCTAATTGTTGGGCTAGGCCTATTTAGCTAATCAAAGCAGAGGGAAAAATAAATTAAATGGGCTGAATTAATGGGCTCGGCCCATGTAAAACGCCAAATTAGATCGGGCTGAATCTTGTGCCACATTAGCTTGCCACGCTGGATGCCTACGTGGCCTGGGGAGGTTGCTAGTGACCAAAACGCCACAGTAGACGTATTTTGGTCATAAACGTCTTCGACCATTCCAGAAGAAAGGTCGCTATAGTCAGTTTATGACGGCCAGCTTTTGACCTTATGTTTTTGGTCACAAAAAGGTCACAAATGGAAATTTGTGACCATTCAGTGACCAATAGTGGTGGTCACAAGTTGACATATTTCTTGTAGTGCCTGTTTAACCAGGCATCATATATTTGAATGATATCTTGCCCATCATTTTCTACATTACATTTCCATTTGTCGATAATGTTTGTACATTAAACTACTTTTCCTATGAATCAGTCATTTGAGTGGGTAATGGAAAAAACTGGAGTGAAAACAAGGTCTTCAGAGTACACAGTGCTTCCTGTCGAAGCTGATCTCTTGATGGGTCCCTATAGCTCCTCAGAGATGGATTTAGATACAGATGACCAGTCCTATTCACCCACCGAGGTGTATGCTCTAACTTGGCACGGTTATACTGCTCATATCATGTATATGGTGTCTTGCATTGCATACTTTAGACATCATATACACAATATTCAACACCGTGTTCTTAGTTCAGACATCATATATGCGAATGCCCTCTGCTTAGCATATAAATCACATATGTGAATTAAATCATGCTATCCTGATTACTTAGATAACATGTATGTTAATTATCATGCGAACCTATTTACTAAAGACATCATCTAATTATCTCATGCCATCTTATGTAGTAACTCGTCATATCTTTGAATTATGTCATGCTATGCTATCCATTTTAGATAGACATCGTATATGTGAAATTATGTCATGCTATCCTTTTTAGTTAAACAATATACATTTCAACTATTTCATGCCCTCTATGATTGCTAACAAAATAAGGACATAGTAGCATCATGATCATTATTATAGCAGAATTGTCCATTATCATAAAACTTCTGATGAGCACGTAATAATTCATTACAGCAATGAAGTATAAGGCATAAACTTTCTTGAAAACTAACAAACTATATTCTCAGTCAACAATGCAATTGTAATTCATCATATTTTCAGGGTCTCATGTCGGAGCTTTTTAGCAAGTCCACATACTCAACCATCATTTAGTCTTCCATGATTGCTAACATTCACAACATATATATGGAGCAAAAAGTTTCAGCCAGACACATAAAAAGATAGGGGCTTATAGTTTTGCCTCCCAACTTATTCACCTCAAGGGAGATGTCAACAATAATAACTCATGATCACTCATATCCAACTGGATATTTGTTCCTAGATCTTTCCCCACCACATGATGCTTACAAAAGAGAAAAATAAAAATGAATGGAAGAGAACACTATTGACTCATGCATAAAAAGTAAATACATGAAAGTAAAAGATAGGCCCTTCGCAGAGGGAAGCAGAGGTTGTCATGCACTTTGTTTTTTGGATGCAAAAACTCTTAATGCAAAGGAACGTCATGTTATATTGCCCCTTATGATAGCAACCTTAATTATGAAGTCCATCAGTTTTATTACTTTGCCATCATAAGTCTATACAACACTTATTTTCCCTTACAATAAAATATCAAAAATATTTAGGAGCAATTTTTATTGCTTTATGCACCGATAACAACTTACTTGAAGGATCTTATTCAATCCATAGGTAGGTATAGTGGACTCTCATGACATGAAACAGGGTTAACAGTTTTTGGACACACAAGTAGTATCTCTACTTGGTGAGGATCTATGACAATATAACTTCTATGTGAATATAAGCAAACATAATTCACTATGTTGTCTTCCTTGTCCAACGTCGACAATTTGGCATAAAATACTTATTGGGGGCTCACAATCATAAGAGATGTCCAAGATAGTATATTTTCATGTGAATCTTCTCACCCCTTATTAATTCTTTCATGAATTGCATGCTTGACGAATTCTATGTTTGTCAACTTACAATAAATTTTACCACTTATACTTTTCCTTATGTAATGTCATTACTTTCCATAAGATTAGCATATGATCTTTCTCATTATTTTCATTGCTAAGATTGAAACATAAAAGTAAAGAAGCAAAAAACTCAAACTACTCATTATTATATAGCTCTGAACTCAATTACATAAATAGATAGATCACGAAGCTAGCACTCGAAAATATATCATACTAAACTTTTATTCAACAAAATCATTAAATAACTAATAATATGTAAAGATAATAAAAGTGAGGGTGATACGATGCCAGGGCATCTCCCCCATGCTTGGCACAAGACAAGGGGGTGCCCATATGCTCAAGTCTCCTTCTTCGGTAATGGTGGTGGTGATGAAGTGGTGGCCTTGGCCTCCGGCTTCCGTGGCATAGGTTCACCATCATAAAAAGATGCACGAGTCTCCGGGGTCCTCTTGCAGCTAAACTCATACCTTCGAATCTTGCCTCATACTCAAAATTTTAATTTTGAAGATCATAGACTTGGCCTTGGAGATAATCGATTCGTGCGTTGAGGTTGAAGACAATGTCCTTCGTAGACTAGCCATCCACCTTGTGGTCACGGGTGAATTTCGTGATCATGGAGTGGTTGGCACTAAGTCCATGTACCACCATCCCTTGGCACCTGATGATGTCCTGCTCCATCGCCTCGAGCCTAGCCTCCATGCTTCCTGTATTTTTGGCCCTTGGACGTCCCGGATGTGGAGCACCCCCTCATGCATCTCAATGGCTTGAGGGTGCATCATCACCTCCGGTAGGTAGGGGTTGATGACTGATAACCCACAAGTATAGGGGATCAATTGTAGCCTTTCTAGATAAGTACGAGTGTAGAACCCAATGAGGAGCTAAAGGTAGAATTTATATTCCCTTCCAAGTTCTATCGACCATCGATACAACTCTACGCGCACTTATCGTTCACTTTACCTAGAACAAGTATGAAACTATAAGTACTTTGTAGGTATGATAGGATTGGTTTGCAAGAGAATAAAGAGCACGTAAATAAAAGCTAGGGATTGTTTAGATAAAGAAACAATTATGTTAGTTTTAGTAGAGAGCTTTTTGTCACAAGAAAGTTATTTGTCCCTAGGCAATCGATTACTAGACCGGTAATCATTATTGCAATTGTATATGAGGGAGAGGCGTAAGCTAACATACTTTCTCTAGTTGGATCATATGCACTTATGAATGGAACTCTAGCAAGCCTCTGCAACTACTAAAGATCATTAAGGTAAAACCCCACCATAGCATTAAAGTATCAAGTCCTCTTTACTCCCATACGCAAACAACCTACTTACTCGGGTATGTGCTTTTGTCACTCACACAACCCACCTTAAGAAAATCATGACAAATATTACAAACCCTACAGCGGGGATCCCTTGTGCTTGCGCGACACGGAGAGCACCATAGGAATACACCAATAATAAAACATGCAACTAAAACCAATCATGATCATCAATCAACCCATAGGACAAAACAGATCTACTCAAACATCATAGGACAGCCCACTGGTATAGCTAGGTACTATACAAATGGTTTTAACCCCTTTCCGCAATGGTGTTTCGAACCGTCGCCGACGCACCTTCTCGCGTAAGCCATAGGCGTACTATACTCTAACTTTGCTCCAAGATATTTTGTATTGCACCTCATACGGTTGGTGATAAGAAACTGTGTGTGATCTACTTGATTTTTCGTCTTGATTTGAATTACATAATGGGGTCACAACGGCAATGGAGGGATGTTTGAATTGCTAGAACTTTTATCTGTGGTGAACATGC